AAATGAGCACACGCGCAAATTACTCAGTGCCTGCAAGGCAGCTTCGAAATGCACTAGTCACAAACCACTGGCTTGTTTAAAAACATTTTTCCCCCAGCTCAAGCTTGCTCTCTCGGCACTCCTGCGGGGGCTGATCATCTCTACTGTTCGTTAGAGGAAGAACAGCTGTGTCCCACCACACAGAGAGGGCAGGAACAAGTGTCCCACCAGACAGTGTGACAGGTGTCGTCTGCAGGAGGCAGGCAAAAGGGCAGGGAGATGGCTCACCTGGTAAAGCAATTGCTCCATAAGCATGGGGAGCTGGATTTGATCTCCAGGGACAGTGGCATGTGTTTATAATCCCAGCTCTGGGGTGGCAGGGACAAGAGGATCTCTAAAGTTCACTGACCAACTGACAGTTGAATCGCCAGGTTCAGCGAGAGGTGTTTTCTCCAAACAGGTAGATAGAAAACAATTGATATATTGACCTCTGGCCTCTACAGGTGTACACATACAAATACATGCACATATGCAGACACACATTCTTTGATAAAGAAGGCAAGCAAGTCATGCCTTGAACTAAAATACTGAACAGAAGCACCACACAGGTGTGTCCTCAGATCCCACCTGCAGGTAGCATGGCCCCTCAGGAACGTGGAGGGAAGAGATGGAGTCTACTTATAACCAAGCAGTGGCCTCTACACCCGCGTCAAGGATGACTCAAACTTGCCACCCGCCAGTCTCCCAGACAGTTCCATGTGGCTGAGAGAACCAGTGTCTGTGGTCACCTCTGTCGAGACACCAGGGCAATGCAGGAACTACTCTGAGCATAGCCCAAGGAAAAGCCTAGGAAGGCAGGAAAGGCAAAAACTCCATGCTTTGGGAGCCCGTCTGCATACAGGGTTCTGGCTGCTGTGGCAATGTGGGGTGAAGGCCAGATGCTCCCCCAGAGAGGAGAGTCATTGATCACCCTTTTTCTCCAGCCTTCCCTAAACTGCCCAATAGACAGAAGGAACTCCAGGCAACCACAGATGCCTGTCCCTGGAGATCCCGTGTACCAGTATGCTGCGTGCCTCTGCCAGGGCTTCTCATATTCCCAGTAGGTTCTTCTGAAGGCTGGGTGATTTCTAAGTTCTCTGGGCTAAGGAAGCCTTGCTTTCATCATCTTAAATAATGTATGGTTATGCTGGAAGAGCTGGGACCAGCCCCAGAAGTGACTTTCCAGATCCCCTTTAAAATGACTGGGACCACTCATCAGTGATGGGCAGGTTCTATTGAAATGGTGTCCCACGCAGGGTATCAGTTTCCTCCTTAGGAGAGAGTTTTGTAGGGGGCTCACAAGAACCACATTTGAACTACCTTGCTAGCCAAACTCTCCCATGCCAACCTATCAGCCTTATCCCCTCCTCCCCTTCTAGGACCTCCTCCTTCAAAAACACTTTGCATTCAAACTGGGCTATCTTGCATTAAGGAAAAGAGAGCCAAGGTGCTCAGTAGAATGTGTTCACATTTTACATCCTGGAAATAAACGAATTCTTTTTTCAAATCCCCACTAGCGGCTTTTATAACAGATGAAAGTCTAAGAGGTTTAAGGCTGATTGACAGGTTTGAAAATAAACAGCCTATTTTTGCAGATAGTTCACAGCTGTATTGCTTCCTCCCATGGTGCGCTCAACTGGAGTTTTCTGTCGGAGAGCCTTTGCCAATAGCAACCCTCTGTATTCTTTAGGTTAAAACGTGCAAAAGAACTCTGGTCTTATTCCTTTGGAAACTGATGACACGCACATACACACACCATTAAAAAAAACAGCAAGACATTGAAATATTTGAAAGACGCAGCAAGATAGACTGTACTGAAACTTAAGATAACTCCACTAATATGGCTGCCTGGAGCAAAACAAGAAGAGGCCGGACAAAGGCTTTTCAGCTGTGTGCCTGGGAACCCAGAAGGATCTTTGGAAGCTCTTGTGGGCCTCAGCACAAATACTGCTCCCCTCCTAGCCATAGAGACTTTTTAAAATCTGGTTTGTGAATGGGATTTAGTCAGATTTGAGAGGAATAAATTTTATAGTTAAAGTCCTCTTTAAAACCCATAGTGCAGCAGACAAAAGACCCCAAGACCTACCTACCACTGTTTGGCAGGCTTCTCCAATGGTGTAGCCCAAAGTCTGGGCACATCAGGGAGCCTGTGTCCCGAGTCACATATACACCAGAGATTAGCATGAAGGGAGCCATTTAGCGATGTTGGCCTTCTGGATCTTTCTCTGCGCCATTCTCTCTGTGGGGGAGTGTTTTAAAGCTCCCCCCTCTCAGAATCCCATTATCACCTAAGTTAAAAATGTCCATTAACCCTTCTGGACTTCCACAAAGCTTCCTGGCTCCAGCTCCAGCTGAGCCAATGGCTCCTCTGATCCCCCAGTTAGTCCTCACCTCCACATTGTGAGTCATCTATCCTGATCCCCCCCTCCTGACTCGGAGGTCTGTCCTCCCCTCTAGACTGTGATGAACTCTTATAGAGATCTTGGACCCCGTCTTCAAATCTACCTCCCCAGAAACTAATTCAAGGCCCACCACAGAGATGGTCACAGACTTCTCTACTTTCAGCTTCCAAGTGTGACGGGCAACAGGAACACACCTGCATCTCTGGCACCCGGAATGCATCTGTCGTGGCCACCCCACCCTTGCAGGAATGCTACAAGGATGGGGGACTGAGGAAGACAATTGGACTTTAAAACTTCATTTTTTTACTTTATAACAATGTAATCTTTTAGAGTCCAGGAAAGTTATTTAAATGTAAACATGCATTCTCACTGTCTGGGACCAGGGTTAGATGAAATTCCTCAAATGATCTCTTAATGCCACCAAAATTGCATTCAAATGCTCCTGCCAGGCAAAGATAAATTGCCATTTACACAATAATCTCGCACTTAAAAGTAGCTGGGTCCAGAGAGTTTGGGGGGAAATTTATTATGACAGGGAAAAGGGGTTCAAGATATTTAGTCTGCTGATAAGACAGCTCAGGAATGACCATAATTATCTCTGGGAATTTGAAGGGTCTTTATAAGGTCATTAGAAGGTCATGGGCCAGCTTGGCTCCATCTACTTGGACATCAAGAATTGACTTCAACACCACCAAAATGAGTTAGTCGGAGTTACAGAAAGTCAAGGGGAATTTCAGAACCCCCTCCCTGAGCTTGTTAGAAATGCAGACCTCCTCCCAAGTCCACTCCGCATTTGCCAAGGCAGAGTTGTGCTCTCTCAAGCCTCGCCGTACCTTATGTGCATGCTCGAGCTCAGGAAGCTCCCCTAATGTGAGAAGGTAAGAAAGCAGGAGGCTGGAAGAGCCAAGGACCCTGCCCAAGATCTGAGAGCCTGCCCAGGCTGGGAGCAGAATGGCAAGCAATCACCTTCCATCCAGTCTCCAAGGATGCTCCAGTCCCCATTATCTTTCCTGAGAAGTACAACCACATCAAGGGAAGTCTGAGTTCTACCTTCACGTTCACTATAATATCTTCAGCACCATACTCTACAGCTGCAGAGACTCGGGCCAAGAGAACGAAGCACTCGGCTCAAGGCTGGACAGCTTGTAGCAGGCCACTGAAGAAGCCTTCAGACTTCCTGTCCCTAGAAAGGGGATAGATAGCAGTCTGCCATCGCACCCTGCATGGCAAAGCCACCAGTCTCTGCTCATGGCTTCCCTGTAATAGAAAATACCTGACAGCTAACTTCCTCAGCAGATGGAGGGAAAATGCACAGCTCTTTCCAAAGCAGTTTATTTCGAGCACTATAAGGTTGCGGGTAATCCTTGTGGTCTCACTGCCCTTGCAGAAGATTCAAAGCAAAATGCCTAGTGAGTTCCCTAGGCAAGGAGCCTAGAGAGAGAGTCTAGGGTGGAGAGAGAGATACTTGCTCAGAGCGTGTGCTTTTGCAGGGAAAGCCTGCCTAGGTTTCCAAGGACCCCTCCCTTGCAGGGCTGGGAAGAAAAGGCCATATTAGCTTCCTGGAGCCAAGCAGAACTTAGAAGAGCCAAGCAGAGTCCAGGGACAGGCCCTGGAAAAAAAACAGCAGCAGGAAGGAGCTCCTCTGGGTGGGAAAGTGTGTTTCCTGGCACCAAGGGACCTGAGGAGCAGTGTAATGTATATTTGATGACATTTCTCAGCAAGCAGCCTCCGTGCCAGAGACCTAGGCTAAAACAAAGCCTGGCACCAGGGCAGACGGAAGATAAAGGGAAACCTGCAGAACCTGCCAGAGAGGCCAGGGTGGCCCCAAGGGAGTGATTAGACAGCAAGGTGTGGAGGAGACTGATAAAAGTCACCACAACAGCCACCATCCTATCCGAATCTGCACAGTTCCTACGTGTAAGGCTTGGGAGGAGGTGACGATCAGGCCGAGTAACTGACAGGACAACAGAAAGAAACACATGCCCCTGAGAACTTCCCCCGTACCCTTGGCCCAACTGCTGCCAACTCCACCAGAGTCAAGCGGGCAAGATCCCGTTCCGAGGAAACTGGAGCTGCCTTCATAGTGATGAAAATCAGAAAAGACAGCTGCCAACTCTCTGATAAGATCAAACATCTGTGTGTTTGCCACTACATGCAAAGATACATGTCATCCAGACAGTCACAGTTAGGGAGTCTTGGGGATGAAGCTCACAAACACGACTTTGTTCCCTTCGGCCAGCCCACCTCCATGCAAACACGTGCCTTTGAGCTATAGATAAAATGCAACGTGCACTTGATCCACGTGATGCTGCTGGTCTGCCAGCACTGCACGGGACTAAAAGGGGTCACTCATGCCGCAGGCTTCAAGGGAGCCAACGAGAGTAACTAGAGTTGCCCTTACTTTCTCACAAAATGTCACCGTTGCCATCTGATCCGTCTGTCCCAAAGACTCAGACACAGCCGCCGCAGACAGAATGCTATGGAACCAACCATGAGCTCCTTCCTTCCACCCAGGCCACTTCCTCCCCCCTCGTTGGCCTTGCTTGCCTGGAGCGTCCTATGGTTCAGTCATTTTCTTACCTGGAAGCTACAGGGACACTGGAGACGGGACTCCGTGGTGACCAGAAGACAGCCCAAACTTCAGGGCGAGGTGGGGACCCAGAACCTTCTTTTGTAGCCGCATCATCAGTGGATGAAAGTCAGAGAGAGACTCCCAGCATCAGTAGGCTGCTCATGAGCTCCATTTTCCTTTCAAGTGGAGGAAACAAAGCGTCCTTCTGATCTACTGAGAGAGGGGACGAAGGAAAATCTGAGCACACCAGAATGGGAAACTGGCAGAAATAGGTACAGGTGCATGCACACAGGGGGTTGGGGGAGAGACCTAACTACAATACTGTGTGCTTGTAGCTCCACTGCCCAAATCTCTGGCGTGTCATGGTGCTAGTGGTTTCTACCAGATAGAACCCCAAAATGAGAAACTTAGGGAGACCTCCAAATCCAGTGAGGACCAAAATACTGTGAGCAAAGTATCTTGGCCAGGTTGTCATGTCTGAGCAAAACTCAAGCATGTAAGAGAGTGTATGGTGCGACCACTCTAGATCTGATAAGGTCAATGTCTTTCCTCTGCAGCCAACCAGAACTTTATCTAGAAACAAGACCTCAGAGACCCTCTCTTACCCCAATGGTGCCAGGCCTCAGCAAAAGAGTGAGAGGCCCTGTAGCAGATCGTGTGAGAAGATATGATCGGCTAAGTCAAAGGGCTGGAATGATGAGGTGAAAATTACTTTCTTTTTTTTTTTAAAAAAAAAAAACTATTTCCTCCAAGTGGGACAGGTGGAGAAACAATAAAAATCCTCCAACGTATCTTTCCGTTCCGTCAATGAGGAGTCAAATATGACAATAAAATGGCAATGGAGTCACTCCCAACCAGTTGCGGAGTTAAGAAAGAGGCCACTAGGTGGCTAAACACAGCTCAGACAAAAGCAGAGCATTTTGAAATGCACATGTAAACCGGGACCACTTTACGCGTGCTCTCTGCTCAGCACCGAACTTAAATACTTTGCTCTAGACCAGTAATTTCCCTAGTCACCAGTAGATTCACCTTGCCCTCACTGACTCATGACACTTAGTTGAATTTCCCCAAGTCACAGATTTTGCTCTCTCCTCCTTCCCCCCCTCTTGTTTTTATTATTTATTATACACATGCTTCCATCACAAGCAGAAATGACCTTCTGATTTGTAATTTGTAATTTTTAAAATGAAGGAACACGCACACTTCTGTGTTTTGGTATGGGTCAGTGGTTCTCATCCCCCATCAGAAAAGACAGATATTTGCAATACATTCATAACAGTAGAAAAATTACAGTTATGAAGTAGCAATGAAACTATAGTTTTACGGGCGGGGGGGGGGGGTCACCACAACATGAGGAACTGTATCAAAGGGTCACAGCATTAGGAAGGTGGAGAGCCACTGGTGTAGGTGGTCCTGACAAGAAAAGCCCATTCAGTATCATTTCTCACTAGAAGAAGGAAACAAACCCTCACCCAGTTCCCAAGTAATCAGTCTGAACCAACATCTCCTGGGCTAAGTCGAGCCCTCGGAAGCTGCCTACAGAGTCCTTTAGGGGACACTGTTAAGATCAAAAAGAGGACAGCTCGTTTTGCACACCGTCTTAGACACTTCCCTGAAATTTTGTCTTATGTGGTTTCTTCTCCATTCTGTCATAGACTGTGAAACTAAAGTACTGATTCATTACCATAGTCATTAAATTGTTTAATAAAAAAATGGCCGTATGCCCTACACTGAAAGCAGTTTAGTTCTAAACCTAATTGCAGGTACTTTTATCTCACCGCCTGGATCGTATAACAAAGGCTGCGCACCTGTCACGCCTCTGAGGGATCACCATGGTGCCACATAAGACTAAAGTGACATTAAGAGGTTACACAGACTCAGAAGCAAGCTGGAAGAAAAGCCCAGTCCCCGGCAGGGTAGGCTCCCTCCTGAGCGGTTAGTGCCTCCAAAAAGAACACCTAGGTCCACAGGTCTTTTAGTATCTCTCTACCTTCCCATTGTCTCAACACCTGAGTCGGTGAAGGAGGCGCCTGACTGCTCCAGACTCACGGCCACAGGCCCGAGTGGCGGAAGTAGCTGGGAGCTGTCCATGGTGGCGCCGCGCCTGGGCACGCAGAGTCGCCTGTTCCCCGCCCGCGGGCGCGCCTGGGGTCCCTCTCTCCAGACCGCTGACTTGGAGACGACTCCCTGGCTCACTGTCTCCTGGACAGGGCTTCAGCCAGGCCGTGGCTCTCACATCAAAGCTTGGCTTTAAAAGGGAGTTCTTACCTGTGGGCAGAGTTGGCTGCTCGGAGTAGGACTGAGAACCTCAGACCCGGCGCGGGTGGAATATCCAACTCTTGGGGAACACGGGTGCGCCGCCCTTCTCGTCAAGAACATACGCATTCTCCCGGGTCCATTCCGAAATCTCCTCGGACCTCGTTCCCAGAGCGGCGAACTGGAGAACCGTGCACGACTCCGGCTTGCGTCCTGCTGAGACCTTGGTTTTTCTGTCTATCTTGTGCGACACTTCTTGCCGGTGACGCCCGTTGCCAGGGGCCAACAAACATTCCTACAGCGCTTCCAGTCTTAGTGTTTGCTTAAATATCAGCAGGGACCACCGAAGTCGTCTAACATCGGATCATCTCCGCTCGCCCCGTGCCAGCGCATCGCTGGGACGGCAGAGGGAACCCAGGAGACCTTGCCAAAGCGGAAGCGACAAGGTGCAGACTTGTGAGGCTCGCGACCACTAGCCACAGGGTAAGCTTGTTCACTGACTGGGCTCCTTCCGAGACCTGCTTCGGGATCATCGCTTTTCAGTGAGAGAGTCGTTTGTGTGAGCATCTAGTGCCATTCACAGGAGGACAACCTAAGCAAAGCCTCCCGTCGAATGCGTTCCTGGACGTTGGTGTCCCCAACACCTGCCACTTGTAAAGATCTCAGAAACGTCCACGGAGGACGGTGACGCGGGCGTATGCCCACCAACATACACATGAACAGACAGACGAGCAGGCAGACAGACACACGAGCAGGCAAGGAAAACAGACAAGCAGAGGCAGACAGTAGAGAACAGGCTGGACAAACAGGCCGACGGAGGGCAACGTTTTCCCTAAACCGAGGGGAGGCGCGGGAACCCGACTGTCCTCTCTCTTGCAAGGCTAAATCCATGCGCCCTCGCGCCCCAGTACCGGTCCTCTTACCTCCGCGGTTCTCTTACCTACGGCTGATGACCGAGACAGTGCCACGCCTCGGGGACCTGGAGTGCAGCATCCCGGAGTCTGGTATCTGATCCCACGCGTCGAGCCCCAGAGCGTGAGCAAACGGGACGAGAGCTCGCGGGAAGTGAAGTGCAGATCCGGGCCTCCCTCGGTACAGTGCGCTCCCGGCACCAGACCACTGCCACTCTGCGCGGCGGGCGCTCTTAGCTCGGCTCCGCGCGCTCACTGGCTTACTAGCTAGCTCGGAGCTGCCAGCCCGAGCCGCCGCTTTTTATAGCCGCCTTCCGGGGCTGGCTCCTCCCCACCCCGAGCCCCCGGCGCCCGCACTCATCCCTCCCCCCCTTCCCAACCCCGTCTCGGGGCAGCGGTCCTCCCACTCACCGAGGTGGGCGGCCTGCGGGGCCGGACCCGGGCGGGCTCTGGCGGCCGCTGGGGGAGCCGCAGACCCAAAACCGAGAGCCGCCGCCGGGACGTGCCACGGCCACCAGGTGAGGGCGCTGGAGCCCAGGACGAGCGAGGCCGATCTCGGAGGTCTGTAGCAGTGAAAGCGCGCCTTGCACCCAGTGGCCTCCCCAAGGGACCGTCAGGCAAGAGAAAAAAGAAAGGCCTGAGACTTCCACAGAGTCGCCACCACTCTGCATTCCTGCTGTTAGATTCCAAACCCTTCCCCCTTTTTGTCAGCTGACATAGCAACAGAATCTAGAGTCGCCTGGGTCTAGAGGTCCTTTGGAGGGGAAGATGCACCCTCTTGCAGTCAGAGATCTTGGTTTGAAAGAGGGCTCACTGAGTGCTTACAGGCTTGAAAACGAGAGTTCAATTCCCAGAATCAATGTAAAAAGCCATGGGTGATGGTCCTGGTTTGTAATCCCAGTGCTGCGGAGGTGGAGACAGGGGCTTGCTGGCCAGCCAATCTAGCCTACTAGGCAAGTTCTAGGTGAAAGAGACACCTTGTCTGAAAAACCAAAAAACCGAGATGGGCAGCTCTTAGGGTGGGGAGTGCGGTGAGGACACACCCCAGGCAGCTTGACTTCTGCCCTGCGACCTGCATACACACATACATCCCAGAAGAAGGGAAGGTAGAGTGATCTCACTTTCATGTACCAGTTTTCTGCACGTGCTAGTTACTTGACCATGAGCCTGGGGAGAAGATTTCAATGAGTTTGAAGAGTGTGGGTGCTAATTCATAGCAAGGGCTTGCCATCCGGCATGTAGGACAGGCCATGGGTCAAAACAAGAAGGGACCACTGATGAGCTATTCTCTGCCGCAGGAGTCAGTCCATACAGAGTATGGCATCTCCTTAACTCAACACTGGGTTACTCGACTACTTAACCCACTCCAAGCCTGGCAAGTAGTGGAAAGCGTTGGAGGTTTTCTTTCCAATTCATTTTAGTTCTAGGATGAGGACCTTAGATTGCAGTTCTACATCCCGTGCCCCCTTCCCCAGGAACTTGTTACTCTGCTCCCCCCCTCTGGTTAATGGGAGTCTCTAAATACACATTTTTTTTCCGCCTGCCTGCCAGTGACCTGTGAGTATCACTATGCAGGAGGGGCTTCACTGTAGCCAGTGTTCTCAGGAGTGGGGAATCTAAATCAGGGTCTTGGGGCCAGTCTGTGGTACAGACTTTGGAAGTCTTTGTCTAGGTCCTCTGGGCAAAAATTTGGGCACTACGTGGAACCAGGGAAGCATGTCTCCAAACCTTTCTAGAGAGCTGGAAACAACGATCAAGAATCTCAGTCTGTTTGACATCCAAGCACACCAGATCTGGGCTCTGCGGCAGGCTTCCTTTCTTGGCCCTTCCTTTCTAGCTGGAACCGGAACCCAGCCCCTTGTAAAGTGCCCATCCAGCTCTGTCCCGCTCACTGCATTCCTTTCTTAGGAACCCATCCCCCCAGGCTCACAAACACTGGGACCTGGATTGGGTGTCCGAAGGACGGGCTCAGTGGAGAAAAGTGTGTTTGGATCGGTCTCCCGGGAGCCACGTGTCTGACTCCGTTTCCAACCGGTGGAACAGTCCTGAGACTGCAAGGCTAGGGAAGAGCTTATTTCCACTGAGACCTACAAGAGATGAGGAGTGGCTGGCCTCCTGTTTTAAGGGATGGACGCTGGGAAGTACTGTGTCATGCTCTCTCCAAGATCCAAAGTGCCCAGCTCATCCCTCTGACATCCAGTTTTCTTTATCATTGACCAATGCCTGGGGTGGGGTGAAAATGCTGACTAACTACAGACAGGCTCTGTGTGTCTACAACAGGGACTATCCAGCCACATCCACTCAGCACGTCTACTCGGTCCTCTGTGACAGACAGGATGTGATGGGTAATTCTTTTGGGGTGAATACGGACTGTGTGAAGGACGGATTTCCTAGCCACACCTCTCTAAATCTGCATGTAAATGCAGAGATGGGGGCTAGCTACAGAAGGGACTGTTAGCTGTCTATTCTTGCCAGGATCTCCCCAAGAGGAAGAGCGGTTGTCTTGCCTGGGGGATGGAGTCACGCCCAGCCTCCACACCCTGTGAGGAGTTCCCACCACCTTCCTGAGATGTGCAGCCCCTAGACCTCATCCTGGGTGTTGTGACCTGCTGCCTGCCCCGTTCCACAAACGGCTCGAATCCGGCAGTTTTTCATCAGTCAGCCAGCCACATTCCATATCCGGCCCTTAATGCAAAGGTCATCTCATTCCACCTACTGACCACTAAAAAGCATGTCTGGGTGAAGTTTGAAGGGCTGGTCACACCTGTGGCTCCATTTTCCAAGCCTCTATTCCTGGCTTCCCGGGACTGACTAGGGACGGAGGAAACTATTAGAAGTGAGAAGCACGATGGGGCTGAGTGAGTTGCCGGTAGAGTTCACAAATTCTAGCAGACAGAAAAATCCCCAGGACCTGAAAAACGCTTGGAGGAGAAAAAGAGCAAATTTAAATCCCACCAACAGGGGTCGCCCTTGGACGCAGAGCCTGAAGCTGGCGTCCAAGAACCGATATTCTGGGGTCCACATTCTAAAGTCAGGTTTCTAGCACTTCGAGTTCCTAAATTCCTATTTTGTTGGAGGCAAATGAAGTCCAGTAAAGAGAGATGGAAAAAAAAAAAAACTGCCAGTGTTTCTGGAGAATTCACAGCTAGCAGGAACTTGAGACTGGAAGTCTGAAGACTCATGCCAACCTTTCGGGAGCGTGTAAGTGGATTTCTGCATTTCTCCTTCAAGGTGGCCATCACCACAGAGAGGGAAGTAAATATTAAATACATGTAAGCTTGTGTGTATGTTCTCACAACATTTATTTTTCCTAATTGGAAAAATAATTCTATGTGTTTCCTATTTTCCAAAGACAAGCAAAAGAAATTTGGAACGCACACACAGGTAAGTATTATCTAGCTTCAAGTTCAATGTGCCAGTGAGTTTACAATGTGGGATGTTTTTTGTGGTTTTGTTTTTGTTGGTGGTGCCCTAACCTCCACCCCCACCCCCAAGACAGGCTTTCTCTGTGTAGCCCTGACTGTCCTGGAACTCACTGTAGACCAGGCTGGCCTCAGACCAGCTACAACGTAAAAAGTTTTTAAAAGCCAAGCACAGTAGCGTACACACTGTAATTCAGGATCAGTGGGTGGAGGAAAGAGAATCTGGAGTTCAAGGTCATTTTCGGCTACCCACCTTCACCTGCAAAGAGGGAGCCTGAATTGAGAAAATGCCTGACACATTTGGCCTCCAGGCAAGTCTGTAGAGCATTTTCTTGATTATCGATTGATGTGGGAGGACCCGGCCAAGTGTGGGTGGTGGTATCGTCCCTGGGCAAGTGGTCTTGGGGTGTATAATGAGCAAACTGAACAGGCCAGGGGGAGCAAACCAGTAAGCAGACTTCCTCCGTGGATTCTGTTTCAACCCTTGCTTCTGGGTTGCTGCCTTAGAGTTGCTGCCCTGACTTCCATTTATGACGGACTGTGATCAGGAAGCCAAATAAATAAGCCAAATCTCCTTCCCAAGATGCTTTTGGTCATGGTCTTTGTCACAGTAATAGCAACATAACTAAGATGGGGAGTTTGAGGCCAGCTTGGCTACCTGAGACCTTGTCTCAAACAAGCAAAGAGCAAAACAAAAGCTTGAAATAAATTATATCAATAAATAAATTGAAGGACAAAGGAGAAAATGATCTCTTCCAATCAAAGCCATCTCTGACAGTTTCAGTATATAGCCAAACATTTGCTCTTGTATGTTACATAGGGAGGTATAGAAATACACACATGTAGACAAGCATTTAACAAATGGGATTCATAGTTCAAAAAATCCTTCTTCACCCCAACATATCTCCTGGGCTGTGTGTCTTGAATGCACACGTCTACCTGCTACTGCTACATCATCCAGCACAGAGTACCAGCATGACTGGTGACTGAATGGGCATATGCACACATGTCTCTTAGAAGGACAATGTGAGCTGGGTGGTGGTGGCTCACACCTTTAGTCACAGCACTCAGGAGGTAGAGGAAGACAGATCTGAGTTCAAGACCAGCCTGGTCCTCAGCATGAGTTCCAGGACAGCAGAGGCTGTTACACAAAGAAAACTTGTCTCAAAAACAAAAATTAAAAAGACAATGTGACTGCAGTAGAGAGGGGTCGGCGGGTAAAGGTACCTACCATGAGAACATGGTAGAAAGAGAGAACCAACTCCAAGTCATCCTGACTTCCACGTGCATGCTGTGGTATGTGCATTCATGTGTACACATACGTGCACACACACACAAATAAATGTTTAAAAAATTTTAAAAGAGGAGATCTAAACCCTTGAAAAGATGCTCCACTTTTCTATTAATAAAGAAATACAAATTAATCTGACTAGCAAAAACCTTAAAAATGTGGTAGTACTTTTGCTGGTCCTAGGCAAGCGAGGGTGGGGAGCAGCTCCGCGCATTCCTTGCTGGATGTGAGCCTGTGTCCGTGCAATGTGAGGACAATTTGACAAGGCTTGTGAAGTGTACATCGCATTTCACTTAGTAATTCCATCCTCAGGAACTTTTCCTACAGATACGATGTGGAAATGATCAACACCAGATTTACACTACTGCCTATATCTCTGTGTGTGTGTGTGTGTGTGTGTGTGTGTGTGTGTGTGTGCATGCATGCATCCAGTGTGGGGATACAGGTCAGAGGACACCCTTAGACATCAGTCCTGGCCCTCATTTGTTTCAGTCAGGGTCTCCTCCGTCCTGTGTACACCGGGCTTTCCTGGACCATGAACTCTTAAGGACTCTCCTGCCTCTCACTGTCTGG